ACAGGCCCACTGTTAGGCTTTCCACACGCGACCCAGTTTTGAAACCCAAGTCGAGCCTCCACGTGAGCTTGTCGTACATATTTGTTCCACCCTATAACGTGACGCTTCCGTTTCAAATTCACATTATTACTATAACTAAAAATCGCAGCTCCTCTTAATATGTCAATAATATTAGCGTAAAACTTGTCAATAACTAACCTATGTTGCACATTATCACAGTGTTTGTCACTACAATTTCTAAATTCAATCGGAAAGTCAATAGCTCTAAAATAATCATTACAATACTGTGTATACAATGTCATTTGTTCTGGGTTTCGCTCCCCCCAAATAATTTTATTACATTTCTTATTATTTGACACATTTTTAGTCCTAATCATATTTAAATCGCATTCTATCTCCAGCGGCTGATGATCAGACCAATAAACATCGTAATGTATTTTAGCATTCTGTACCGATTTGCACGCTGCCTCAGACACTACACAATGGTCCAACCAGCTTCTCGTGCCATTAATGTCACTAACGTACGTATACGAAGCTGACCCTGCTCCTAATATTTCCAGATCAGCACACTGCCACTTTTGCTCCGCACAAAAGTCTAGGAGTTCCCTACCAAATCTCCTATCAGGGTGAGCATTAAAGTCGCCTAGGATGAAAACGGAATCTATCTGACACTCTTCCACTATTGCCGCTAACTCACCCAGACACTCGGTAAACTCCATAAGATTATCAGCAGAGTCAGTTGGCATGTACACGGAAAACACTAATAGCGACCGGTCCGATAACACTATCTTTATGGCAGCTATGCGCACACTTTTACATTGCACTACTGACACTGATGTAAACAAACTCTTACGCCAGAGCACCCCGACACCACCGAACGGTCTCCCGCGCAGAATCCCAGCTCCTGTATCGACTGCTGATTTCCCAGTAAACCCGAATTCAGGGTCAATGCTACTTAAATACGGTATATCTTCTTGTAGCAGCCATAGTTCTTGCAAGCAAATGATATCCGCCGTGCGACATAAGGTTCTAACACAATCGACCGAGCGCGTAACCGACCTACAATTAAAACTAAACAGTTTTATATTTTTATGTTTTAAGTTAGTGTTTTGATCCATTAAGACATGTTTTTCTTGTCAATAATCTTTTCACTACCATTATTTTGGTCATACTTATTCCTATTAAAGTAAACAAATCGTCGGACCTTTACTCCTTCCGGCCATAGACTGTCATCGAGGAATGCGGATACTTTTGTGTGTGGTACAAAGATTTTATACGCGTCATATCGTTTTCGTTTTAGCATATTTATCTTCTTGATATCCACCAACACTCCGGTTTTCTCCTCGATGTATTCAATTATATTTTCACAGCTTGTCTGTTTGTTTACTTGGTGAACAAACAAAGGAATTTTTATATCAGCAGCACGGAATTTTTCATTCAGTTTTACCACCGCTTTTCCCTCAAAATCTGCCAGTCTATTTTTTCTCTGTTTCCTTTCTTTATGGGTCGGTACTTTTTCCCACGTTCCCTCAGACTCGTTCTTGTTTACTTTGTGGACCGCCTCATTCACAATACTCGCATAAGTCTGTACTTTAGGCCGCACGCTAACATCGGAATTCGATTGTCGTTGTTCCGTCTCATGCGGCGCCGGCACAAATACGCTGCGTGTTGATGCTGTCTCTTTCTCTGTGCCCTCGTACAGTTGTTTACCTGACAGCGCGCTGTTCTCGCACTCATCAGCTGTTACGTTGTTGCCATTCGGTGTGCTGCAACTACCATCTATTTCTTTCTCCTTAAAGGGGGGTAGGCCAATCGGGCCACTGTCTAAATAAAAACTATCTTTCATGCCACCTCCTCGCTTTCGGTTTATATTTAAATCGAAGTTGTTAATGAGAGATGCTTGCTTTAGGTTAACGACCTCGTTTTTCACCTCAATCAGCTGTTTTTCGGTGACGTAAGTTTCTTTTATGATACTTAACTCATTTTTAAGTACCAAGATATCTTTTAGCAGTCTTGTGCAATCGACGTGGTCGAAAGTTAATGGCGGCAAACGATGTAAATCCTTTGCCACAAAAATTGGCAATTCTTCAGGCTCGCTATTCCTAAAAATCGCGATCATGTCATTTATATTACGCTCAGATTTGCCCGCATTTTTGCGCCGTACACTTTTTTGTTGGGTCGTGAGCGATTCAAATAATAACGTCTTCGCAGAGTCAATCTCTTTGGTTGAAAATGCCGATGTACACACTTTCACCAAACTATCCGCGGTCATTACATTCTGTTTATTCTGGATAAACGCTAAAACTTCACAAATAACAATATTGCATGATTTGCATTTAATCACATTAGAGGTCGTTGCCCCCTCCATTAGCCACAATAACACGTCCGAACGTATACGAGAGTACGCGATGACTGATGACTGTTATAAAATTAAAAAAAAAAGATAAATCAAAATTATATTTCTATACAGTGCAATGAACTTAATATTATCAGCAGTTTCAAATTTGAATGGTTTTTGCATCATTTTGATATATATCCATAGTCATACCGCAGTAATCACTGAACTCGAATGGCAATTCTCGCACTCAAAACGGTTCGAACCGATTTGTACGATAATCGTATGAACTTGAAAAAATGTCATACGAGATCGTGTTTAGACAAGTCGAAAACTCGTAAGCAAGAATCTCCTTACTACATATTTCTCCGTGTAAACAGTCGAGGAGGCGATTAAGTTGCTTGCGAATCTCGTATGACATAATCGTAGGCGAGATTTTAGTTCTTGCCTGAATGTAAACATTATGATACGATAATCTTATGGCGATTATTGCTTACGATAATCGCCTACGAGTTTTCGTCTCGAAGCGTGCGAGAAACTCTCCCCATCTAAATGGGCCTTTAATCATATGTTATCGTCCGCGTACCTACCGTCGAGTAACGGACAAGCCGAAAGCGTTATTAAGATTGTAAGAAAAGGATTAAAAACTATAATTTTAAACGAGAGAGACACGGGACACGAGACACGGGAGAGGATGGAAACGCGGAAAGCACAGAAAGTGGTTATACACCAACTACCCCTACGACAGCGCCTGTACCACGATGAGGCGAGCTGACGCCGAACTATTCATCATCTACAGAGGAAGGGAGTGATTATGACCATACACAAAGTAATAAGATCCAAGTGCTGGTTCTACACGGGGTGAACGGTCGCTCTTTAACTTTAAGAACCTTGTCTAAATTGTATTATTAATTAGTTAGTAATTCTTAGCTACAAGGGAAAGGGAATGTTATATATGTGGGTATTCGCTTAGGCGAGGGCTGCGACCCACATGATTTAAAAAAAAAATCAGTGTGCATTCGGCTACCGTGTTTGACACTAGCCCCGCATTTACCTTAATCCTTTCGCATATTTAACAATTATAGTAACTCCATACAAAGTAGCAACTTCTATATGTGCATACTCGCCGCGCGCCGTGTAGGTAGGTAAGGACGAATGCACACATTTGTATCATCTCGCGATGCATAGCGTGGGCATTTATTACTTAACGCGGTTGCATAACGTGGTCGTCACACGCGCCTTCAATTCCTACGATCCGGCTGGATTCGAACCAACGTCTTTCAGCAAACCGTGGCAGACGCTATGCCACCTTAGCCATGGAACGAACCAGCGGATCTCACGAATTTTTCTATGTGCTTGTTGCAGATCTTTGTCTTTGGTTTTTAAGGACTTTTTTGCCGTAGCGCGTATCTGTGAGAAATCTATTTCTTCAATCAGCCAGGTGAGTGAATAAATACCTTTACAGCTACCAGCAGCTGACTATAGTTATCGCTTTAATAACCTATCTAGTGTCTAGTGGACTAATTTCAGATTTCACAAAAATGCGGTGGTTTGAATTATATAATTCGAACATCTTCACTACATAACATTTACCCATAAATATAATTTAACGAACGGCTTCCATGCCGGACTGCCACGCAGAGGTCCCAGGTTCGATTCCCGGGCCGGGAGAAATATTTGTATGGCCTATATTTACTTCTCTCGTGAGCTTGGGTGTAATTTGTGGTTGTCTATGTGTGTCCATGGCACCCGCGACACAGGGTTTCCCTAGTGCGGGACTATGTTGAGAATGTGTGTTATTTATTTATTATTTATAATATAAAGTCATTTAACGTTTGCTGGTTCAAAGAATGAGTTTGTAACGTTACAAGCTCATGAATGAATTAAAGTGCTCATTGGAACCATTTATTACCATCACAGTGCGATGCTACAACGTAACTTTTCAATTTAAATTCACGCAAACAAGTTTTCTTATCGCATTCTTCGAAAGCATTTTCCAGAAGGTACAATTCCAATAATATTCCATGGCACAATTGCCTGGGTACGAGAAACATTTTAAATATGTATATGTAAAGTTTTAAACCACACGTATTATTTTGTCCAGTTAGACAAAACAAGCTGGCGAAATTACAAGCACATGGGACATGTCATCTTATGTCTCAGGGTGACGGGCGCAGTGGCAATGCTCCTCAGGTCTTTGTGATTTAAAGCTGCAACTATTATGGACAGGCGTGTCGCTTACTACCAGACGCGCGGCTTGTTCGTCCCATCTCTTGGTGTGATATAAAAAAGAGTTATACCAGGAGACGAGCAGCTACGAGGTAAAGCCAGTGATCAAAAACCAATCGCTTCTAAAAATCAATTCGAAATACTACAATCAATAGAAAAAAATGTCATAACGTGGATATAACTGTAAAGCATGAAATAGTATGTATGTAGAGTACTGACAGATAAGACCAACACGAGCAAATGCTTGTGAATATTAATTGTGAACAAGGTTAGCTAAAACAACAGCTTCTTTTGTAGTAAAACGTTAGAACGTAAACCCAAATGACGTGTATTGTATACTGTAAGCAATTTCATAAATGACGGAATATGTTACTTGTACTCCTTATCAAGATAACTATAGCGATAAAAATATACCTTGGTTGAAACAGTCGAATAAGACGGCATTGTCACGCGGGTGTCGGTACAGTATAAGTAGAACATAAAATTGCGCATCCAAAATGTTGTCTAAAATATTTGCCACGGTTAAATATACTATGGTGACAGTGAATTTATTATTTGTGGTAAGTTACATTTTAGCTGGTGAACTTTAAACAAGTGTATTGCGAATGCAAGTGCAAAAAAATAATATTGTGTCCACTTTGCAGATCACGGGTATAATAATTATATCAGTTGGTAGCTCTGTTCAATCGGCGTACAATGAGTACCATCCCTTCCTAACCCAGAGATTCTTCTCGCTACCAGCCTTTTGCATTGCAACTGGCGTCATCATCTTTCTTATAGCGGCAATTGGATTCTATGGAGCCTTTATGGAGAACTACATGGTGAACATGGCCGTGAGTATTTTTATTTTATAACACAGTACGTAACTAGTGTTAAAATGTATGCAGTTTATGAAATAGGTAGTTGTGATGTGTTTGTTGAAGGTAGGAAACGCAATTGAAAGATATTAAAGATAAGAAAGTAACACTGGGCTCTACAATCCTGAAGTCAATACGCATGATAAATATATTACAATATATTGATTATAATACAATATAGATAATGTATGTCCTTGGTATAAATATCATTTTCATGTGATGAAAAGTGCTTTTTACTGAAAGTACTTTCCCATTTAAGCATAAAAAGTGATCGACAAATTCTTTCGTAGAATCTCTAAAGTTCTCTCTTGAAAAGTTGTTATTTTGCAGATGTGGTCCTACTAATAAGAGGGTTTGAATTATTGTTTGAGTACAGTTGTATGTAGTTAATTCTGTAACGGTTTGGAGCTGGATGTCCGGAATTAGACTACAGTTTGTGAACCTCGTTTTAGAACCGGGCCGTGCCCCATTTATCGACGTAGTAGACGAAATGTCAGATGTAAATAATTTGTGAGCTAAGTTGGCTAAGCCTAACAATACGTGTTTTTGGATAGTTAATGTAAACAATCATTTAACGCTTTATACGTTTATTCTACTAACTAGTCATATTGTAACACTAAACAATTTACTCATTTATTTTGTATTTAAGTATAATTTGGTTACACTTTAAAAGATATCATTATCAAATAGTCGTGGAATGTATCGTCATTCTTCAGTGGGTTCAAGAACGGAATCGCGCTACCGCGCGGCATAACGGTTGACTACAAATGGTGCGGCAAAAATCGCCACCGCCGCGGGCACGCAAGAGTTGCGGCGTGACAGCATCCCATGTGGCGAGATCAATGGAAATTGTACATTAGTATACAATTAAGGCAGCGCCGCCGCCGCGGTGCGAATTGAAAGTGTGTAAACAAATGCAGGGGCGACTACAAAAACGTCGCCGCCGCTGCGCCTTGTGTTATCAGCCTTAATACTACTAAAGAATGAAAATACCTACCTTCCACGAGTTTTTCATAATGATATCTTTTAAAGTCTAAGCAAATTATACGTAAGTACAAAACAACTGCCGCTGTTGTTAAGACGCCATGAGT